TGAATATTTGGTGAATTTAAATAATTTACTTAATAATAAGGATTTCAAGGTGAGCGTTTTAAAGAATGTTGAAAGGGGCTGTGAATTTGAATAATTTTAAACTTTAAGATATTTTATAAGTTGGAATTAAATCAAAACTAGGATCTAAAATACAAAAACAAATCACTTATTTTTAAAAAATTAAATTTTTCACTTTAAAAATCAAATTTAAGTTTAAAAAAATCGAAATTATTTAAAAAAATCGGTCTTCCATGTGACATACCTGAGCGTTTACTGCTGTAATTATACAAAAATTATGTTCCCAAATAGAGACGTTACAACTCAGGTAAAAGAGAGTTGCGGATTTAAAAATAAAGGTAGGGATATCCTCAACTGCATTCATCATATTACTGAATTTACTTCCACAATTTTTTTCTAGTTAAAAACTAAAATAGCTCGACAATCGTCATTTGTCTATCTTTAAACTACATTAATTTAACTTCAGCGGCTTTTTTCAATACGCGTGCATGCCTGTTTTTGAAGAAATAAATAATTTTTGAAAAATATTTGTTCAATTGTTTAATTTTTCTCAAGAAATCCACCAGAAATAGCTTCAAAGCCAGATGAGTGACTACGTATGGAAATTGAACTATATTATCAAGTATTGTTGCTAAGGCTGAATAATTCAATTTGATTGAAATAAATATTGGAACAGTTTGGATATTACTATTACATTTATGTCGGAACCATTTGAAATATATGGTATCAAGCTATGTGCAGATGAATCTAGTCTTGTGAGAATAAGGCAAAGTGAAGCTTGTATCTGAATGGTTTGGTGATGTCAAAGCAGCGTAGAATTTGAGGTATCGAGTCTTATATAGATGAATCTGCCAGTGCAAGAATTAGGCGTCTGTGGCATGAGCGGTCGGGCAATGGACTGGATCTGTAAGCTTCTTTGATAAGGACGTGGGTTCGATTCCCACCAGAATTTTATCTCTCAATCATCATATAAAGTGTTACTGATATGACAAGGTATTGCACATGTTCATGAAAAGAATTCTTCCTTGCTTCATGACGCAAAACTATAAAGTCAAAATTACAGTAGATAAAATCAAAACTTATTAACAAAATTCAAATCTAAAAACATTCATGCATGCAAATGAACGACAAAATTGCATCCAACAACTGTAACAAAATCTCAATCAAACTTCAAAACAGCAGCACTTGCATAATTCAACGACAATTGAGTCGGCAATCATCAAAAGAAGTCGGCGACAACAAAAAAAGATGCAGGGAAGAAAAAATAATTAAATTTTCATGAAGCGTCCATGAACTGACTATGTTGAATTAGCCATTTTGTAATTTCACATTTCTCATTTGTTCACCCACAACATGGACATGAAAAAAAGACGAGTGGAATGAGGCATAAGTTTTTGTGTTGGACTTTCTTTCGTCCTTTTGTTTCTCTCGATGCTATTCAATCCTTTTTGTATGTGTATGTGCAGCACATATGAGTAAAAATTTTATGCTTCTCATTCTCTGCTAGAAATTCTCATTTCCCCTCATGACGACTGCAAGAAAGTTCTGTATGTGATGTAGGAAAAAAAAAACGGGGAAGAAAGAGAGTCATGTGTGCATGTATGAGGTACTAGATTTTGCTACTCTTTAAAATGCCTATATGAACTTTTTTTTGATGTGAATTCAATGAGATTCTTATTGGATGTGGTGGAATTTCGATTATATGATTTTATTTGAAATTTTGAAGGATATGAAATTTACTAGAATTTTGAAGATAAGCGGGGGTTCCAGCCAAGCGAATTGTTACTACACCGTGATCGATGATAGAACCTATTGTGGATAAGAGGTTAAGTATGCCGCAGATTTATAAAGTCTAAAAAACACTGAAGTCTAGATTTGCAGTCGATCATTTGTTCACAGTGGTGAACTTCTTTATCCTCAAGCAAATAAATCACAGGTATAAATATTCACCACACCTGAAGTGCATACCTGTAGTATTCCTGGTTGCCTAGTTACCCCTTAGGTTTTAATTTCGAAAGTTCAAGCTTTTTGTGATTTATTGGTAGATTAATTTTAAAGAGTTAAAACTTATTGATGGATTTAAATGCAGTTTAAATTTAAAAAAACTTCAATTATTTTGAAAGTTGATGTTAAAAAATCAAAAATTAAATAACATTTTAAAAAATCAAAAATCAAAAAATAAAATTTTTTTAAAAAATTTCAACAATTGAAGAAAAATCACACGACTTCATTCCATTCCCAGCAACAGGCTCTGAAAAATTGAGTGATATCACTCTACCGGTAGATTATCTCTAACACGGAATAATGAGTCAGAAACATATTTTTTTATCAGGCATGCCTTTTAACAGGGGCGTAGCCATAATTATTTTTGAAAAGGGGGGAGGGGGGTTGAGGTTGATCATTTTTTAAGAAAATACTCGGAAGATAGTTCTTAAAACCACTAATATTTAGATTCCAATAACCCCCTAGCCAGGCTCCTACCTCACAATACCACGAAATAAAATAATACATCCAAAATGAGTCAACGGGCAAGAAGTTCAGTGAATGGTGAATTTTCGATACTCAAAAATATTTATATAGCTGAAATACAAATTAACGCACAAGCTCATTAAACTGACGATCATCAGTAGCTGAAAAGACCTGAAAGCACCTTGAGCAATTCTCAAGAAATTATAAAACTTGAATAAATAAAAATTCAGAAGACCAAAACAATTTTTTTTTAAATTAAACGATTATTTTTTATTGATTGATTTTTTTGTTTATAATCATCGTTTCAAACGTACACTACTTTTTTTTATTATTTTATCTACAGAATCCATTAAATATGCAATTTTTACGTCAATTTTTTTTCTTATGACAAAAAATGCTCCAAGAATCGAAACAAATTTTTCACATTTTTTTTTCTTCTTTTTTTCGATTGCAAAATAAAACTTTTTTTTTGTTTATTTTCTATAAAGTACGTTTTTTTTCCATTTATTGTATATGAGAAGAATGTTTTAATGCCTTTTTTTTGTTCATCTTTCATATCTTTTTTGGGGGTGATTTTGAGGGGGGTTGTTGGGGGTTTTTTAAAGTTTTTAAAATTCAATTAATTTTATTTGAATTTTAAAAAATTTAAAATATTAATTTTTTAATACCCCAATCTGCCCCCTATCCAAAAATTCCAACCCCTAATGCATAAATTGTTTCATTTTTTTTGGAATAGAAAGGAATTTAAGAGGAGAGAAATTTGATTTTTTTTGTTTATATAAAAATGAACTTAACTAAATTTTTTAATATATAATTTTTTTTCATAATTACTATCAATTTGCGTCTATGTCTGTGTGGGTGTGGGCTTGTGTCTTACATTTAAACATTACATTTAGTCACTTAAATAATTACTTTAATTGATTTCATTTTTAAATATACAACATTTTTTTAATAGTAATAATCTACAAAAATTGGGATTTTCTAATTTAAATTTTTCATCATTTAAGTATTTATAGTTCTTGTGTCTAATCAACTAGGCATGAATTTTAAGTATTTTTTTAATGTTTATAGTAATTAATTAATTATTTTAGGAATAATTTCATTTATAATTCGAATTTTTTGAATTATCCTTTTTAAATACATTACAACTTATTCATCCACAGTAGTTTTTAATAAAATTAGTGAACAATTATTCTTTCATTGTGGGGATTATGTTGAATTTTGAAGCTAATTTGATAAATTTTCGCCAAAAATTCAACATTTTTTCATACCATGGACCCCCCAATTGTGTATTTTAATCCCTTAAATTCTAGAAACTTTTTGTAATATTGCAATTAAGTTCATTTACTTACAACTGGCTTCATTTTCATATTTTTTTTTTCTTACTTAAAATGAGGATTTTTTTCATTATTTAAAATTAATTATTGACTGACCATCGAGATTTTATTTATTTTTTATTGTTAAACATTAAATTTTACTTCTGTGTGCTGCTTATTTGTTTTGTGTTAAAATACCCTGTTGTTTGGTGATAGAGATTTATTTTTTCTTTGTCTTTTTTGCTATTTTTGTGATTTTTTTTTAAATATTTTTTAAGTAGAAATTTTATTCTCGACTTTCTTTGTACATTTTTTAAATGAATTATTTAAGTAGTGTCCTTTATACAGTTAGACAGTAAGTAAATATACAGTTATGAAATTTTCTCGCATGTCTTTTTCAAGTTTTTTGTTTTTTAAAAATTGGAAATTTTTTGTTTTGTTGTGAAATATTTAAATTTTTGAAATTAACGGTCATTTTCTATTTGAATTTGCTTTAGTTTATTAAAATCCAATTTTGAATAGTTCGTTACAATTCAAATCTTAATTATCCGTTAAAAAATTCAAATTTAAAATAACCGTCAAAAATTCAAAAAAATTTAAAAAATTCATTAAAATCAACCAAAATATTCAAAAATAGAATAAAAATTAATACTTATTCAATTTAAAAATTGATGTTAGTACAATTAATAAGTTTCAATAAAAATCAGTCTCTCAAATAATTTTTTTTCATCATTAAAAACGTGTTCGGTCTTTTTCATCATTATTTTAAACCATTTCCACCCATGAAGATAGTTTTGTTTTAAAAAATTATTTTTAAAAATATAAAAAAATAAACAAACAGAACTAAAAATGCGAAATTAATCGGTGCAGTAAAATAAGAAACATGTTAAAAAAATTTAACGCAACGTTAACAAAAAAGAAATTTTTTTGACATAAAAAAACATCGTCGATTTTTTCACTTTCTTCTCAGTTTCAATTAGCGCGCAAAAAAGGCAACCAAAAAGATGAAAACCAATTTTTTTAATAAACAACTTTCTATCATTACTAATATTATCATTATTTGTGCCTAAAAACATCAACTTAAACTTTTTTTTCGAAATGAAGAAACTTTGCGGGAATTCTTTTTTTCATAAAAACTTTTTTTTATTTTGGGAACATGAGCTGCTTTTAGTGACTATTTCTACAAGTTTACTCACTTTTTTTGGATTAATTTAATTTCAATTTTCACATTTTTTTTCATTTTTTGAGAGGGTTGAAATTTGGAAAAATTGTTTAAAATTATTTCCCATTTTTTATGGACAACCCCTCTGTATTTTACATAATTTTAACAATTTTTCTTAGGCATATATATCAATTTTAGTGACAACTTCCACAATTTTACGAAAACCCTTCTTAAATTGATGAAATTTGAAGGGGGTTGTCCGTAAAAATCGGGATATTTTTTATACAATTTCTCATAATTCATGCCCCCGTCTCAAACAATTATTTTTTCCATAGCATTCTGTCATCATCCTTAAGTCCTCTTACTTTTTACAATTTTCAAACTTCTTTCTTACATAATTTTGTCTACAATTTTCATTTTTTTTTTTGATACATCAGAACTTTTCATTATGTTTAATTAATTTTTACAAGTTTTTCTTTTACTATACAAAACGATCATCACGAAGATATCTTCTCATCCTCTAACCTTATTCCTTTGGTTTCGCTCGAATGCCTCTCATATAATTTATATCCATATTGCGTCTGTCTTTATCGTGAGCATCGACAAAGTGGAAATTTTGAAACTTTCCCAATTTGTTGCCATAAAAATTTCAAAATTTTCAGTTCATCAACAAAATATTATAATTCACTAAATTCGATATTATAATGTGTTTATTATTTTGGTTGGACTAGCATTGCATGTGTATGTTTGGAATTCCATTAGAAAATCCTCGACATAAGTCGATTAGGTGGCATTTCATAGGCCCATGGAGGGGCAAAGAGTCATGCATTCTGCTCTTCCTTTATCATACCCTGAGATTGATTGGAATTCTCGTCCATATTACGATTAAGTCCATTTGGTAATCCACCCATACTGAGACTACTGATTGAACTTCCATTACTATTACAATTGAGATTAAGTGCGGCGGCAGTTGAGAGATTTGTTGGATTATTTTGTGAAGCACTAAGTTGTAGTCCTAATTGCTGCATATTTGGTGGTAGGAGCATGTTATGTTGTTGTTGTTGATGTTGATTATTGCCAGCTAGCTTGCCCTGATTCACAACACATTTTCTCATATGCTTCTCAAGTGTCGACGGTACACTGAATGGCATCTCACAGAATCGACATCGATAGACATCCTTGCCCAGTCGACCGTGTGTCTTCATGTGACGTGTCAATTTTGAACTTTGTGCACAAGCATAGCTACACAACTCACACTTGTATGGCTTCTCGCCTGTATGCGATCGTCGATGGACTGTCAAGTTTGAGCAATTCTTGAACACTTTACCACAATATTCGCATGTATCGTTACGCCTTGACTCCTTTTTTGGTGGTGGCTGAAGGGGATTTTGATGGTTGGCATTCATACCATGAGGCAATTTGGCTTTCAAGTTTTCCAACAGTGCTTCGTTACGATGGAAGTTTGACAGATTCCACCATCCATCATTTCCATCCATTTTGAGGCGCTTTGAAGCATCAAATGGATTCTCGAATGGATTGAATAATGGAACTTGTGGTAATTGGGCATTTTGGTGGTGTTGCATGATATTCTTGGCAATGAGCTCTTCTTTAAGACGAAGTGCAGCAGGAAAGCCATTTAATTTCTCAGCTAATCCAGGAATTGACAGAGATGTATTATTATTATCACGATCCTTACTTGTCAAATGGAGTTTTAATGCATTCTCAGACTCTTGAAGTGCCTGTTTATATGCTTCGGAATATTGTGCAATATTTGATAATCCAAACTTATCCATTAGCTCACCAACCAGTGATGCTGCACGATTTGCATGATGTTGTTGCAGAAGTTCCTTATCTCGTACACTAATGTTACTTTGAATACCAGACATACTTAAATCTTCAGCCTCCTCATCATTCTCATCATCAATGTCATCCTCATTCATCTCTTCTGCCTCGGCCTCCTCATCATCTAAATCATCAGGTGAGTCCTCATTCTCTGTCTCAACCGATCCCGAATTACTAGCACGATCCTCAGGCGAACGATGTAGTCTCATGTGACGACGCAATTGTGATGCTTGAACGCATGTAAAATCACAGCTTGTGCATTTATAAATATCCTCGCCCGTATGAATACGTCGGTGAACAATGAGATTACTTTGGAATCTAAATTTCTTATTGCAAAATTCACATGTATGAATGGCATCGACATTCTGTTGTGACGATGATTTTGGTGGCGTTGATGCGGAACGTGGTGTTGCTGTTATTCCCATGCCATTCTCAGATGACATATCATTGTGCTTCTCAGGTGGTGTTAAGCTCTGTGGTCGGGAATTGTTTGTTAAAGGTGTCGGTGGGAGTTGGTGTGATGGTGATGGACTTGCAAAATTTGGTGAGTGCTGTTTACGTGGACTTGGGGAGCTTGGTGTGACACCAACACTACCGCCTGGACTCGTTGTACCAGCTAATTGACGTAATCGTTGTGAATAGAAATCTAAGTGAGGTTCCATTGTTGGTATTTGTGGAATATTAATCTTTCCTGATGACGACGATGATGATGGTGGACGTTCTGGTGCATTTTGTCCAAATTGTGCCTGATTATGATTCAATTGATTTGCAGCAGCAACGGCAGCAGCTGCTAAATTTAATCCATGATGTCTAAATTGCTCAAATTGTTCGATACGGAAGTCATGAGGTCGTGAAAACAATGGTCCATGTGGAACTAATTGACTTTGTGACAATGCTGGAATTGGCATTCGTAATAATCCAAATGGATTACCATGTAAATCAGGTGGTGGTAATAATGGATGATGACGTAAACTGGGAGGCGGTAAATTTTGTTGTTGTTGTGCTTGTTGTTGCTGTTGCTGCAACGATTGGCCGGAACCATTTGAGGAACTCGTTGAACACGTTGAACTGCCACTGAGATTATTACTTGACGACGATGAGGATGATGATGACGATGATTTTGTTTGATTTTGCTGTTGATTTGCATTTGACGTATCCACGTAAATCTTTACGCCATGTGAGTGCTGAACGTGCTGTACCAATCGCCATGCTGAGCTATATTTTGTCTTACATGTTGAGCATACGTAGTTTGATGGTTCTGTGAATATATAAAAAAATATGGATATTTAGACAAAAAATTTTACTTTCAGTGGAAAAAATAAAATAAAATCAAAGTCATGGTTCTGTTGTGACAAAAGAATCTGCATCAAATCACGCAGTATGGAACATCTACAATGACATTTTCAATGTAGCGATCATAAAAAAAGCAAAGTGGATTTTTTATTGCATTTTTTTAAACGAGAGAAAAATGTGCTTCTTTTTATTCATGTTCTTTTAAAAGAGATGAATAGGATTTGAGGGTATTTGGATGATTTACTTCTATTCTTGCCACTTTTTTGAACGATTCAGATCAAATAGTTTTATTAGATTCGTGATAGGAAATTCAATAAATCAGAAAAACTTTTCGAAGTGGAGAAGAAAAAATTTCCCGCCATTTTGAAATTCTTAACAAAACTCGTTGAAAATCACCAACAGTGCCTGATTTACTCATTTATTCCGTCCAAATGAATGCAGTTGCAGCAGTAAAATTCACAGTAATCACTGCGTTGGTCATAAAAACTCACATTCATGACGGTTTATGATACTTCCATGCATACATATTTCATTGTTTGATTGTCCCCGGGAATTTTTTCCTTCCTTCATCACAAATAAATAAAAAAAATCTTTACGAGGCTTGAAGCATAAACAAAGCATAAAAAAATTTCTGTCGCTCGATTCATATCAGTTACATGACATAAATGCATTGATATAAACATTCGAAAAAAATACACACAGTAAATCCAGACGATTGTTTAAACAGTTTTTTGTTTCTGTCCGATATTTGCTGCATATTTTCGCGATTTTAATTAATTTTTTGTGTCTTCAATTTCTCGTTAATTAAAATATGTATAAATAAATACTTTTTAGCAAGCGGCAAACATCTATTGAAAATATTTATTATTTTTTGGGAAATGTTTATCATCAGATACACACATAATTATTATTATTATTACTATGTTGGTCGACATCAAATTTCAATAAAATTAATAAAATAATTTTCATTGCATCCCGTATTGATATCAATGTAATAAGTTCGGCTGTATGTATGACATTGCGTTTATTAATTAATTTTTATTAAATGAAAAACATTCTGTTGATACAACAATAAATATTGCTGGTCGTCATTTATCATTGGAAAATTTGATTTTTGTGTGTGCCTTGATACAACTTGTTTTTGGGTGATGAGAACATTTTTGTTGATTAGATTTTCGACTTGTAGTACATGCGTTGTAGTAATTTATGTAATTGGAAGTTTTTAAAGAAATTAAATTTTTTTTTGTAGAAATCATTTCTTCGCGTCTTTTGAGGAATTTTTCAATCAGATTTTGGCACATTTACTAGATTAGGATTGATGTTTTCTATCTGAATCCACTCTTGCCACTTTTTTAAGCAAGTTTCTATTGAAATTAGCTATCAAACTGCCTTGAGTAAGGCAATATTTAAGAAAAACTATTCGAGGTGAGAAATTTTTTTTTGAAGATGCAAAAATTCAAATTTAATAAATCCGTTAATTACGAATATAACTTTTTATGCGTCACATATATCAATCTAACCATAAATCAAACAATCAAGCTGTAATTGTGTAATTTTATGAAACTTTTTTTCCCTTTTATAGCCCACAAATCCATGATGGTGTACGTCAATCACAATATTTTCATTCTCGTTTCATCATTAATTAAATTTAAATGTAATCAAATAAATAAAAACGTTTTTTTTGTGGGACTTGATGCAGTCACATAGGATTATGATATGTGTACTCTCATATATAGCGTTCGGCCCACAAAATGAGAGATTTTCACTTTCCATAAATTCTCGACAAAAAAAGCGCAAAACCGCAACACGACGACAAAATAAAATTTCCATTGTATGCAAATTTTACAGCATTCCATGACGTTTGTTTAAAGCATTGATGCCGTTTTTTCGACCATTTTTTGTGTCATTTTCGCTTGAGGATGAGGAATAAGAAGTGAATTTCCACAATGATACAATTTAATTCACAGGTTGGACACTTTTTTTCTGTTTTAAATTGTCGCATTTCTGTCGCGACCATTCCAAGGCATTATGCATTATGATCTCAAACGTACGATGATGTTGATGATGATGGCAATCACAGTACATCAATAAATTACAATAAAATTATGGTAGAGAATTGAATAAATTTTCGTGTTGTGTCTTTCTATCTCTCCTTTTTAATAATAAAAATATTATTCTATCTCTTCATAAAAATGTTTAAGCGACGGACGACAATGACAAATTGCTGATGAATTTCCACCATCGAGATGATTTGATTTGCAAATTTTTTTCTCTTTTCATTTCCATTCTCTTAACTTCACTTCTTGCCATTTTTTCATTCGATTTCATTTGTTGATGAGATTTTTTTTTATCTTTTTGAAAAACTGTTGGAGACAATGAAGAGTGATTTGGGTGGCTGAAGGGGCTTCTAAGCTTAATTTTTATGATATTGGTATGTAAGAAAGTTTTATCAAATTTAAAAGGCAATTAAAATTTAAGAAAAATTGAATTTTGAATTTTAAAAAGAAGTTAAAATTTAAATTTTAAAACGTCGTTAAAATTTTAAATTTGAAAAAACCGTCAAAATTTAAATTTTAAAAAGTCGTTTAAAATTTAAATTTGAAAAAACCGATTAAAATTTAAATGCACTCAAACCTCAAAATGTTGACTTAACTCAACACTTTCATGAATTGCAAAAGATGAAGACATTTGTGGGCAATAAAAGCGAGATGCTCGGTTCTAAATTATCATAATTCAATGCAGAGGCGATCAACGGAAATGGCTTTATCAGGTTTACACAAACAAAAGAGAAAGACAAAGACAAATGCACACGAATGGGCTCGTGGATGACTCAAATATCACGTGCAACTCTTTTATTTCCTAAAGACAATCGTCTTCATCCATATGCCCATCCTCAAAATAAACAAAAATAATTTTAATGCTGTAGACATTAAGACTCATCATTTTTGATTCCCTTAAAATTGAAATTCATCCTCTCCTTTCAATTGTATTCATATCGCACATGCCGCATTATAATAAACTATCGAAATATGATTATTTGTGTACAGCACAGATATCTGTTTACCAAAACAATTGTCTTTCGCGTCATCCTTTATAAAAAAAACTGAATTTTTTTATATGAGGGCAACAAAAAATCAGACATGAGGGCCCACCAAGCTGTATATAACATCTACTTTTTTTACCACCCCGAAATTAAATTTTTTTTATTGATGGGAATGAATAAAAAAAATCATGACCCACATTTTTTATGCTACTGCGTCCACGTCAGTTCAATTCAATTTTCAATTGAACTGTTGTCATGCAATTCCAATTAAAAGGTCGATGATGATGCCGATGATTTACAAGGATTGTCAATGGAAGTAATTTTTAATTGACCATCATAAATCATCTCCTCATCCTCATTGAACTTGAGTAGATAATTGATTGGAAATTTTCATGTCAATTATCGATGTTCTCCTTGTCATGTCATTCAAGTGAGCTGAAGAGATGAAGAATTTTCCGATTAAATTGTGTTGAATGAAATTGCTGGCAATTTATTCTCCCCATGAAGCTTGTGGACGGAAAATTTTCCTCTATTTCCGGTGTCTCTTGCATATGGCTTTACATATGAGTTTATAAAAAAAAATAAGATAAATAATTTTTTGTGGCCTTTTTTTGACTTCCTTTCCAGCCGAAATGAATATGCATAAACAGCAGCATTTCCCTTCATTTGTCGTCATTTCTATGATATGACGTAGAATGGCACTACCAACTGCTGCTACTCACTTACTTCTTTTCTTCTTAAGCCTTTCACTTAAATCCAATATTAATGTCGAATACTATGTGACATTTGGATGTCAAATGCATGCACAACAGTGATCCAGTGGGAGATTTGTTTTTAATATTTCATGTCGTTGATTGACATCCGCAGAACTTGTAGATATCATATTTCCAACTCTTTCTGTGCAATAAAAATGTGATTTATTCAAAACAAAGTTTTTTCTTTCCTTTTGTCCTTCTTCCTATTTTTCTTGTTTTTGTGATGTAAGGAAAAGGAACAAGTTAAAAAGTCACGAATGGGTTAGGGTACAAGGCGCATAATTGAGGATATGCTGCTTAAAATTGTAAGTAAAAAATTTTAAAATAAAACTTATCTTATGAATAAACTTTATAGCTTTTAAGTCAAGATAAATGCACCATAATAAAAAATGACAGCCATTTTGAAATTTTTTTCCACTTCGAAAATTTTTTTGCACTTTTGTCTTAAGCTTTATAACTTATTATCACAAAAACTTCTCCAGTCTTTCTAAAAAAAGTGGCAGAATCCGATTGAACAAGATTCCAATCCAATATCTAAAGCAGAAGTCAACATAACCTCAAAATCTCAAAGTCACTAAGACATAACATGACAACCACACAATTTTCCAATAAATAAGCATCAAAAAATGTGATAAACGTTTTCAGGTCGGATGAATTGGGGGATGCATGACGGTAAATGAAATATTTTTTCCGTGTTCGAGTCAAAAACATTTGAATGAACGCGATAAGGTATAAAGGTAAAGGAAAGCTGTCATAAAAATGGACTTGATGAAATTTAATATCTTTTTATTTTTTCTTCTTTATACGCTGTGTCTGCAAACCGCCACTGTCAACAAGAAGAAGGAATTGTATCAGTTAGCATTTATTTATACAATTTTTTTTTATGGAAAACGATTTTCATTCATTCGCAGAATAAACGAAGAATACATTTTTCGTGGTTGTGTAGACAATTCATATATGCAGAACATTCACAGCAGGACATAACTGAGAGAAAATTATGAGAAGACCAACATAGAATTTTATGGATATTTCTCTCGACTATTGTGTCGTTTTGGCTACTGATAAATATCTTAATGTACAGCAATTTTTCAGACTCTTTTTTTCTCTCATTGCAATTGCCTTTTATTAATGCTGTTTTTCATTTCATGCGACCGTTGCCATTAACAT